CTCCCAATCCTGCGGGAGCTGGAACCCAGAAGAAGCGGTGACCCCGAGGGTCCGGACTGAAGTCCCTTTGGGATCCTCCTCCGATGTAGCTGGCCAGGATTCAAACCAACTTTCCTGTCTCCATCTCCTGGGGAGCCCCAGGGTTCCGCGACGCCTCCAGGGAGGCAGCTGGTCGGCGGATACTCCCTACCGCGATAACCCGCAGACCTGGCCCSGGTCCCAGCGACCCTGACTCTCTCTCCCTCCCGCCCTCAACCCCGCCCCACTCCTTCCCTTTCCTGCCCCCAAGGGACCTGATCCCGCCTCCTCCCCTTGGCTCCGGACCTTGATCACACAGCAGTCCCCTTTCCTCTGGTCCCGCACCCAACCCAAGTTCTCGGACCCCTTTAGTGCTCTGGGCTAGCCCTGCACTAGCCGCGGCCCCTGCGGCACCAGATCGCCCCCCTGCGCCCGGGGCCGCGCCCCTCCCGAGGCCACGCCCCTCCGGCCACGCCCCCGTCTGGCCACGCCCCTTCGCACTTCCCCCGCGCGCTCCGCAGGCCTCGCGCCCCACTCCTCGGGGCTCGGCGGCCTCTCGGGCCCTGCGCCCCGTCCAGGCCCCGCCCCCAGCGCCCCAGGCCCCGCCCCCAGGCCCCGCCCCGCAGGCCTCTACCTTTGACGTCTTCCCCGGGGAGGTGGCGGGGGTCGGCGGCCGAGKGCCGGCGGGACTCCGGGTCCGCGGCTCGGGCGGGCGCCGCGGGGGGCAGCGAGGTGACAGTGAACCTGCGGCTCATGGCGCGGAAGGGGCCGGGCGGCGCGGAGCGGCCCGGGTCGCACAAGTGGCCGCAGCCGGCCTCCAGGACAGAGCAGAGGCGCTTCCCCGCGCCCGCCGCCCCCCGCCCCCCGCCCGCCGCGCGCCGCTCCGGGTCCTAGTGCCCGCTGCGCCGGGCTCCCCGAGTCTGGCCTCTTCGCTCGGAGGCCCTGGGCTCTCGATTCCACCCGACGTTCCTGAGGAGCCCACCCGGCTGAGAGTCATCCCTCGAGGAGGGCCCCGGTGTGTGACCCTTGGAGCCCRGGCCTAAACCAACCGAGTACACTCATTCACCGAGCACATGTCAATGGCGCTCCTGTGTTTCAGACCATGGTGCAGGGCTAGGCCCCTGGGGACACACCRGAGAATGAGAGGGACTGGCTTCTGGTCCTCCTGGGGCTTATTTTCTAATGAGGAGACAGGGGAGAAAGAGTATAAGTAAACAGACATACCTAAGATCACTTGAGACTGTGGTATATGTTAAGGAAAAAAGAGGGCCATGGGAAGTGGGCAGAACAACTTTAAGGGGTGGCCTGAGAAGGCTTCCCAGACCATTGATATTTGAGAAGAGCCAGCTTTTCAAAGATTTGGGGGAAGAATTCTCTGGCGGAAGAAATAGCAAATGCAAAGGCCCTGGGGTGGAAGGAACCTGGACTGTTGCAGAAGCAGCAAGATGCCAATGTGTCTAAAATAGAGTGAGCGAAGAAGAGAAGGATGACAGATGAAGAAGAGAGGAAAGCAGTTCAAATGGTCTTTTGAAGTCTCTGGATTCTTTTCTAATCCACAAAGGAAACCATTGAAGGGTTCTGAACAGAGGAATGCTGTGATCTGATTTATACTGTAATGGATCACTCTGGCTGTGAGTGAACACTCTGCTAAAGAAGGGCAGGCTGGAAGCTAGGAATCTAATTAGGAGTCTCCTGCAGGACCCCCACCCCCACCCCAGGTGGGAAGTGATGGTGACCAGGCTAAAGTGGTGGCCATCATCTGCTTTCAGGTAAGTTATGGAAGAGGAACCAGCAGGACCTGCTGATGGTGGGGCCTGGTGGATGATGGTAGGAGTCCAAGAGGAACTCTGTTTGGTCACTCCATGCATATATCCTAGGTATACACACCCAAGAAATGGCTGCCCATGGGTACCAAAAGGCATTTCTAAGAATCTTCATATGACATTACTCATAACTCACTGGAACCCACCCAAGTGTCTATCAGTAATAAAATACATAAATTGTAGTACATTCACAGAATGGAACACTACACAATACTAAAGAATAAACAAGGTACAATTTACAGAATAGTATGGATGAGTCTCACAAATATAACATTGAGCAAAAGAATCCAGACACAAAGAAGTACATCCCTTATAACATTTAAGTAAAGTTTAAGATATGGTCAGCGTCTACCTAAGCTGTTAGAAGCCATGATAGTGGTAACTTTTACAGAGAAGAATTGGTTGCAAGGGAGGCTGAGGGGGCTTCTGACCGTGTTTTGTTTCTGGTTCTAGGTGCTGGTCGCCTTCAGTTTGTGAAGATGTATTGAAACATACACTGTAATAAGTGCACTTGTCTACATTTATTAAAGCAAAATTCTTGTCCTGGGTCCATGTTGCCCATCAGGGGATATTTAACAATGTTTGGAAAAATATTCAGTTGTCACAGCAGGAGGAGGGCAGTACTGATACCTTGGATTTGCACCAAATCTGCTGGCTCATGAATCGCAGGTCCACCATCACCTCACTGTACCTTGTCCGTACAATGGGGCCTGTCATAGGAGAAGGGCTGACACTGAATGGGCCTAGCATCTGGCCATGGATCATGCTACTTCCCGTAGGAAGACACCAAACATCCTATCATGGATGGAATGGTTCCCACAGCAAAGAATTGTACAGCCTGAAAAGTCAGTCATGCTGAGGTTGAGATTCCCCATACTAGAATCAGAAGCTTAGATAACTTGTTCCTAGGTTTTAGGATGATCAGGTTTTAGGCTTGATTGCGGGTAGATGAGATTGTCTTTGATTAATGTAGTCATGACTGGAGGAGGAGCAGTTTTGGAAGATGGTGCCCAAGAGTAGGGTTTGACCTGATTGGTTGAAATGCCTGGTAAGTCAACAAGGAGTGGGCAGTTGAGCATATGCATCTGGAGCTCAGGGGAGAGGTTAAGACTGGGGATATAAATCGTGGAGTCTTTAGCAGAGAGTTGCTATTTAAAGCTCTGACTAGAGCACAGGGAATAMGGGAACACAGAAGAGAGAAGTCCAGCATTGAGCGCAAGGGCGCCATCATTCAAAGGTTGCCAAGTGGAGGATCCAGCCAGTGAGTGGGAGGAGAACCCGGACCAAGGGAAGAAGGAATTTCAGGAGGGAGGGCAGTTCAACCCCACCACGTGCGTGATGCACTGGCAGCTGGAGCCCGTGGTGGCTTAGAGAGGGAGACTCSTGGCTTAGTGGGGCTGACAGGAGGCGGGATTAGTGAGAGGAGGATGGGAACCGAGAAGGGGAGCTGGGGAATGGAGACATATGGGGGGAGTTTTCCCGTGATGAGGATGAAAGCAGAGAAACGGAATCGTGTCTAGAGGCAGAGGGAGGTGAGCGGGATTTTAAAGGTGGGTCACTCCTGGGCCAGAAACAGAGGACTTTGGAGAGTGGGTTCCCCCAGAAGAAACCTGGGGGCAGTTCTCTGAACTCCTCTTTAAATTCCCACTTAGGCTTCCGGTCCAGGAGATGATCTGATCTAATGAGACCCAGCACCTCCACTCACCCACCCCACTCTTCAGTCGAGGTCCCCCACTGTCCTGTGAGGTCAAACCCACACACCTCAGCTTGGCCTCTGGGTCTTCTCTCAGCTGGCCCTTGCCCCTTCTCCCATCTCAACCATTCCAGAATCCTTTTTGTCCTCTCCTATCCACATGCCACCACTGCACCGTTGAGTTCACCAACCCCCCTGCTTTTTCTCTTCTCCCACTGTTTGCACCAAGAGCGCACATTCCAATGCCACTGTCACTGCTCACTAGCTGTGAGGCCTGGGGTGAATTGGGTCACTTGGCCTTAGCTTCTCATATGTAAAACAGGGGGCTGGTGATGACTATAATAGTTCCTGGAAGGCGACAGTAGTACCTGTCTCACGGGATGGTTTTAACTCACACAAAGACTTGGAACAGGGCCTGGCACATGATGATGTACAAGAGGTAGCTACTGTCATGTTTGTGTGCATATTTGACTTACTCACTGCCTCATCCCAGGCTCCTAGGCTGTTGCCATATGAAAAACGCTGCGAGCACCATCCGAGTATCTGTTGCTGCATGCACACGTGTGTGAGGGGCACAGAACAGTTCACAGTTCTTAGCAGATTCCCTCTATGAAGATGGGCCCGTTGGCACAGGAAGATGCCCTTGTTCATCCTCCCCAACCAGTTCCAGGTGTGAGGTGGCTGGGAAATGTTCTCCTACTTCAACCGCGATGCACAGAATCAATCTCTCTCTCTCTCTCTCTCTCTCTCTCTCTCTCTCTCTCACACACACACACACACACACACACACACACACAAGGATGACAGGCTCTGCACCTTCCCAGCATAACCCCACCCCACCAGCCACAGAGTCTGCCTCTGAGAATGAAGCTTGGGTCTATGTGCTAAGCAAGCTCTGAGGACACTGTCATTCCCTCTAAGGTCTGAGGACCACTGGGAGGTCCTTGAGAGAAGGATTAGACCAATTCATTCCTCTGTCTCCAGTGCCCAGCACAGAGCCTCCTTCCATGAAGAGGCTCCATAAATGTTTGGTGGATGAATAAATAGGTCATTTCCTCAGCTGTGAAACAGAAGCAACCACAAACATTTCTAAGAGGAAGGACTGGGTACGTTAATATTTATGAGAATCCCAGAACCCTGCCTGGCACCTAGTAAGCACTCTGTCAGTGAAATATATACATCCGTCCATATGACGGAGGAGAATCCAAGATAAAAAAAAATGAATATGATAAAAATTACTGAGTACCTACTGTGTGCCAAGACTGTTGGAGGTCTCAATTCTTTGGATGCTTATACTCTAGTGGGGCAAGACAGAGGACTAATAAGCAAATATGAAAACACCCGTAAAATGCGAACACACACAAAGGAAAGCTGCTCCTAGAGGTTAGAGAATCCAAGTTTATTAGAAACATTCGGACAAAAAAGAAAGCTGTGAAGAGAGGGCCCAGCCCACCCCCACTCCTCTCTGTGTTTAGAAGACTTCACCAGTTTGTATCCTGCAAACTGGCCTCTTTCCCGTGGGGAGGTCCCGTGGGGACCTGCACTGCGCYGCTGGAGCCTGACGGGAGCCCTAGTCCTCAGGGCACTGCAGGAGGTCATAGGTCACGTAGCCCACTTGGTCCACCTGGTTCACCTCCTTCCTGGAACTCACTCGCCAGAAGAAGCGGTCCTGACAGAAGTAGGCTTTCTCTGCAGGGGATAGTCAGGCATGAGAGGGGTGACTCCCACCCCACCAACACAGACATCTGCAGACACAGGAGCAAGAGCTYTACAATCATCCCTCCTGGCTCTCTAGATTTTTCCAAGATTTTTACATGACACTTCCATCTCCACCACCTGCCTGTGAGATGCTGGAAGGCACTGGCACACAGTAGGTGCTCCCTACACATTTTGTGAATGAACTAGAAAATAAATGAATGGATGGCCTATCTTAATACTCAAAGCAATTCACTCAATATTATTCATTGAGCAAATTCATGTATTCATTCAAAAAATTTTTACTGGAGCTGGAGGTGTGGCTCAGAGGTATACAACTTGACTAGCATGAACAAGACCCTAGCACTGCAAAAAAAAAAAAAAATTACTGACTCTAATTTTCTTAAAAAATATGAATATGGTTAAAATTATTGAGTACCTACTATGTGCCAAGACTGTTGGAGGTATTAGAGATATAGCAAAAAACAAAACCAAAAAAATACATATGTATAGGCATGATCTGAATTCTTTTGGTGCTTATACTCTAGTGGCACAAGTCAGAGGACTAATAAACAAATATGAAGACAAATGAAATTGGTTCTGACAATGTAGAAAGCTATGGAGGAAATACAAACTCCTGGGCTGGGATTGTGGCTCAGCGGTAGAGTGCTTGCCTAGCACAGGCGGGACCCAGGTTCGAGCCTCAGCACCACATAAAAATAAAGGCATTGTGTTGTGTCCATCTACACCTAAAAAAAATAAATATTAAAAAAAAGAAATATAAACTCCTAAGTGAAAAGATAACGAGAGTTCTCTGAGATGGCCTTAACACTGAGATCTGAAGGATGAGAGAGAGGCAGCCTGGTGACAATGTAGGGAAAGAGACTTCCAGACAGAGGGAACAGAAGGCACAAAGGCCCTAAGACAAGAATGACCTTGATCTGTTTAAAGAGCAGCAGGCGGAGGTGGAGTACAGGGAATCACAGGAGCAGCAGAGAGGATGGGAACACAGAGGTTTGGAGGGGTAGGGGTCAGATCGTGTAAGTTTCCTTGACCTTGGAATAGGCTGGGGGTCATGCCTGGACCATTCCCCTCCCTACTCTCAGGGAATACACCAAAGGTTATTGGAAACCAATATGGCTTGGATTAAAGTGTTTGTAAAGGAGATAGTAAAAAAAAAAAGCTAGATTCAAAAATGATTTTGTCTGTAAAGAGAACAGATCTTGTCAACTGATGGCATATGAGAAGAAGAAGGAAAAGGAGAAGGAGAAGGAGAAGGAGAAGAAGAAGAAAGAAGAAAGAAGAAAGTACAGTAACTCTAGCTCTACTCGTCCCCAACTCACAGATGGGAACGCGGAGGCTCCAAGAGCGGCAGTGGCTTGCCCAGAGACGCCCAGCTAGGAGCTGCCTTTTCTCTCACTGTATCCCAGTGGCTGCATAGCTCTGGCATAATTTGGCACCTGATGGTTGCTGTGTGACAAGGGAACATGCCCCCTTGCAAAGCTTACATCCTGTGCTAAAGGGGAAACAGCTTCCTGTTGGGGACGYGGTTATTCTGGGTCCTGGTCCTGACTCTGCTGCTGACTCCCTGWAAGACTTGGGGACGTCTCTGCCTCTACAGAGAGTTAGTCGGTCAGTGCTGGGGCACTTCCCCAATCTCCAGGGACCCTTTTCTTTCTTGTTGAGAATTTGTCCAGTCGCCATCGCAGTGGGGCGACTGGGGGTGGTGTCTCCTAAAGGGACCCTCCGTGGCTCGCACCGCAGCCTCACCTCGGTATTGAAAGATGTCGTGCGTGTTCAAGGGCACCCCGGGGAACATCTGATCCACCGGAGAGGGGCTCCGGGAATCCACTCTCTGCGTCTTCACGTCGAACCTGCAGCCGGGAGGCGAAGGGACGGTGCTGAGCCCGCGGGCGGGCGACGGCGCCCGGGCTCCCCCTGCCGGCGGCCGCGTGGCTCTCACCTCCAGAAGAGATGCCTGCTGAACAGCAGCGCCTTGCCCCCGCCACGCGGGAGGACCCCGGTGACTTGGGTCACCTCAGAGCCCAGACCCAGCTTGTCCAGACGCCGCGGGCCCAGCACCGACGCTCCCGTGTACACCCACACTTGGCGCCCTGCAGGGGAGAAGGGTCATGTCGGACTGGGCATGCGGGGCAGGGGCGGACGTCCTCCTTGAATGTCCGAGGGGAGAAGCGGGCCAGCCTTTCCTAGCCCGGAGAGCCCGGAGTCTCGGTAGCCAAGAGGCCCAACAGCTGGGTACCAGTGTGCAAGGGGTGGCGAGCCGCCGGACCCAAATGCAACCCCAGAAAATATGACAATTTGCGGGTACCGGAAGGGGGAGCCCTTTTCCAATCGTGTAATTTTTTATTTAATTAAATTAATYTATTTATTTAGGTGCTAGGAATTAAACTCAAGGGAGCTGTAACTCTGAGCTACATCTCCAGCCTTTTCTTATTTTTTTTTTATTTTTAATTTGAGACAGAGTCTCACTAAATTGCTTAGGGCCTCGCTAAATTGCTGAGACTGGCCTGGAACTAGGCCTCCTCCTGCCTCAGCCTCCCCGAGTTGCTGGGATCACAGGGTGCACCTTGGCACCTGGCACTGATGCATGCTTCACCGGCCACAGTGGGTCTCTTGATCCTCCCTGCTGGCGCGGGATGAGAGGTGGCGGAGCAAGAGAGCAGAAAACTCACCCGAGAAGAAGAAAATCTTCTTGGAGAGTGGCTCCTCGAAGGCAGAGTCCAGTCGGGCGGGCAACGCGGGCCACGTGTCGGCGATAAGGAAGGGGCCCTGCAGCCGGGGCCCTCTGCCCTCAGAGAATCGCCAATACCGTCTGAGGACGTGAAAAGGGCAGGACAGGGCGCTGAGCATGGAGCCTGGGGCCAGCGGGCGAGGGGACGGTCCCTCCTCTGCACATCTGTCATCCCAGCATCCCTCGTCCGCACACCCCCGCCCACTCACCCATCCTTGAAGACGTGCAGATAGTTCCCGATCTCCGCAATGGCGTCGAAAACGTCCACATTGCAGGGACTGTCCACAGGATCCAAAGTCACTGGGGCCTCAGAAGGACCAGCCGTGGGAGGACCTGTAGGGCCAGCTGAAGGGGGGCCTGTAGGGCCCTTTGTGGGGAGCTCTGAGGGGCGGGCGGTGGGGGGTGCGGTGGGGCAGACCGTCGGGGGAGCGGTGGGCTGCGGCTCAGGTGTGGTGGTGGACGGAGGTCTTGGGTCAGGTTCAGGCCGAGAACCTAAAGAGAGACCCTGACTGAGACTCCCCTCCACTCCCGCAGCCCYGCGGAGCCCCGCGCAGGCGCAGCTCTCCTCGCTCGCCTGAGCCGGCCTTCCCCAGCCGCAGGCAGGCGCTCCCCACGCCCTGGGCTTTCATTCAAGTCATACTTTTCCTGGCCTGGGCCCTGTGCACAGAGGACAGAGGGCTCACCAACCCAAACAGTGCTGAGGGCTTTAGAAACTCACAGGTTAGCCTTTGATCTTAGAAAAACAAAAAAACAAAAAACTATGACTTAGATTCTTTTACACCCTCACCTGTTTTTGCTCCTTTCTGTGTGTGTATGTGTGTGTGTGTGTGTATGTGTGTGTGTGTGTGTGTGTGTGTGTGTAGTGCTGGGAACTGAACCCAGGTCTTTGCACATGACACTCAGCACTGAGCTATACCCCAACCCTCCATATCCCCAATTTTTTTAATGAGGAACTAACACTAGATCACGACAAAGAAAATATCAAAAACACGATGCTTCCTATATGCCACACATCATTCTAACTCATTAAATTTCATGACAGCCCTTTGAGGCAAGTACTAAAATTAACACTTTMCAGACAGGAAACTGAGGGGTGAACTGATATACCCAAGGTCACCTGGCTATGAAGTGGCTTGTCTGGCTTTTGAACCATATCTACCTCTCCCTAGAGTGTGGGTTCCTTAGYACCATCTCCAAGCATTGACCAGGCAGCCACTGCTCCCAGGCCCCACCCCAACGGATGTTGAGGTCCTCCCCCTCTGGCATTCCCTGGTCCTGCGGCTGAGCTACCCCATTTCCTCTGCTGCGTCCACCCCTGTCCCGCAGCCTCACCATAGAGATGCTGGATACCCTTCACGTCGTCCTCGTGCAGCGGGGAGCCCTCCAGAAAGCGATACATGGGGTACATGAGCGCCTCTGGCACGGAAGAGTGATCCAGACCCAGCGCATGACCGAACTCGTGCGCCGCCACAAGGAACAGGCTGTATCCTGGAGGGAAGGAACCTGAGATGTAGCTCCGGGCAGAGCCCCCAGCACTGGCCACCCGACCTCCGCTACCGCCTAGGCCACAGCCCCCAGCCTGGAAGCCCCTGAACCATCCCGCTCACCTTGGTCTGGGCAGAAGCCCCACTTCTTGTCATTGTCGAAGTTGGAAGTGGTGGCGCACCAGAGGCGCCCATCATTGCGGCCATCGCTGGTACAGGTGGAGTACTCCTTGCCCAGGAAGATAAAGGGGAAGACGCACAGCTCCCCGGCGGAGTTGCCCCCAATCACAGTTGCGTCAGCTGGAGAGACCCAGAGTGTTGGTGAGCCAGGGGAGGGGGTCCAATAAAGTGCCAGAGGGGGGCCAAGCAAGGAGCTAGAGGATCTTGGTGGCCTATTTCTAAAGCCTATAGGCGCTATGGAGCACAGCAGAGACCCGCGTCCCCAATGGTCAGGGCCTAGGTCACCAAACCAAGGAAGAGGCCTCAGTCCAAGCCCTGGACTTTTGGCTGGGCAACTGGAAGTTAGGGCGAGGGGACATAGTCATGGTGTGTGGATGAGGAAGGAGTAGAGACAGAATAATGAGTGAAGGAGCCACATTTGAGGAACCGATGCAGGATGGCAGAGGAAGGCTGAATCAGGTAGGCAGATCGGTACCTCGAGTTGGGCAGAAGCCATATAGCTTGTCCTGGTCATAGTTGTCGGTGGTGGCACACCAGCGGTAGCCATCAGAGCGACCTTGGGTGGTGCAGGCAGAGTAGGAATTGCCCTCGAAGATGAATGGAAACACGCAGGGTTTGCCATCTGCATTGCCATGCTGGGTGTAGAGTTCTGGGGAGGTGAGAACCATTTACCTTCTCGTGCAGCACAGCAAATGCTTTGACCCACCGACCACTTGCCGTCCAACCCTCCTCCCTTCAGTTCAGGAAATTGGGCCCAGAGAGCAGGAGAATGACTTGCAGGCCACACAGCACTGGTGGCAAAGATGGGATTAGAATATAAGATTCTGGACCTTCAAGGGTAGTGACACCCACATCCCTCGCCGTGACCCCTCACTCACTCTCACTGGGGCAGAAGCCGAACTTGCGGTCCSTGTCATAGTTGGCGGTCGTGCTGCACCAAGGAGCGCCGTCGGTGCGGCCGTCTGTGGTGCAGGCGGAGTAGGAGCGGCCCTCAAAGGTGAAGGGGAAGTGACAGGGGGCTCCATTTGCGTTTCCAAAGTGGGTAGGAACCACTGCGGGAAGAGGACTAGCGTCAGGAAGGCTGCTTATGGGCGTGGGAGAAGGGAATGGAGGAGGCGTGTAGGGACACCGGGGCGGCTCCAGATCTCACCGACGCCCTTGCCCAGCGACCACAACTCTTCATCATCGAAGTGGGCATCTCCCTGAATACCGGGGCCAGGAGGAAAGGCGTGTGCCAGAAGCCCGTCCTTCCCGTCGAAGGGATACCCGTCTCCGTGCTCTAAAGACGCAGAAGGAACCGGAGTCAGCCAAGTATCGCTGGGCAGGTTGTGCGCTGTGCAAGGGCGCGGGACCCAGCGCGGCCCGGAAACCTCCCGGCGCACCGCTTTCCAAGCCTGGCGCGCGCTCTGCACTCCCGCAGGMGGGGGGCGCCCTGCGCGCAAGTGGCGGTCAAGGCCACCAGGAAAGCGGGTCCACCGCGGCTCTGCTCTCCTTGGCCCTCCYTCCCATGCCTGGTCCGGGAGTCCTGATTTGCCCCTTCTCACCAGCGACACCAAACTGGATGACGATGTCTGCCTCCCGGCCATACACGCGAGTGAAGGTGAGCGGCGTCACTTTGCTCCACACGGCGAAGGCACGGGCAAAGGCATCGTCGATGACGTCGCGYGGCAAATCTTCTGAGTAGTTTTGGATCCTGTAGGGGAAGGTGGGAGGAAAGAGGYCAGAAGTGAGAGGCTGGAGCAGGACAGCAGCGACACCCCACGTTTCAGAGTCTTCAACATATGCCTCGTTCCCCGAGGGCATCCCCCTCAGATATCCCCCACCGGCCGTTTGGGTCCCCACAGTGGACCTGACAGAAGTTCCACTCAGAAAGGGAAACTGAGGCTCAGAGGTGGAGCCTTTTGCCCCAGGCCCTACAAGTAGTGGATCCAGGACCTAAGACAGGATGTGATCACCCCAGTACAAACCCGGATCCCGACCCCACCCTGGTCACCCACTCTGATCCCAACCACTCACCAGTATGTGATGTTGTGGTGGTGCCACTTGAGATCACCCTCAAACGTTTGAAATTTGCCCAGATCTGGGACACCGCAGCGTGGGGTTCGCATGGCCTTCAGGGTGGCGCTGTCCAGCTGACCAGTCTGGGGCAGGGACAGCCGCTTCTGCAGAAGCAGCAGTGCTGGGCGCAGGGACAGTGCATCCGTATGCATCTCAGCCACACGAGTGTAACCGTAGCGGAACAGGTAGTCCTGAGGATGGAGAGCAGAGACATCCCAGAGCCCAGCCCCTTTCTCTGCTCTTCTGGCCCAGGACTTGTCTCTCAGGTGCTCAGGGGTGATCAGTAAGGCATTATATCCAGGACACTAGTGCTGCCCATTCAAGAATCCACCTCCTGCAGACACCCTCAGCTCCTTCCCACCCCTGGGCACTGCTCTCCCTAGGACCCCTGGGGCTTACCCTTGTTCACTCCCAATTCTTGACCACTCCAGAATCCTCCAGTGTCCCATCCCCCACACYATCTTCCATTGCCCACCTAGCAACCCCCATTTTCTGTTATCTGCTCTGAACATCGMAGACCCCAGTGCCTCACCCCGGACACCTCTGTTCCCCATCATCCCAAGACGTCCCTGAACATCTCTGAGGCCCTGTGCCCCYTTTGGTCCACTGCATACCTTCCTGGCCAGCCCTCCCCCACTCTCCGKGGGGGTGTTTGCTTACCTGTGCCAGCTGCATATCAGTGAGATTGGTGGTTCTCAGGTCTCTGGGGAAGACCACAAAGGCGGGCTGGCGCTGYGCAGGTGCGGCAGAGCAACATCCCAGCACCAGGAGTGCCAGGACCAGGGGCTGCCAGGATCTCATGGTGAGGGTAGCCGTGTCTGGCTGCAGCTGTCCTAGCAGGGGCTTTAAAGAGTTGCCACTAACTGAATCAGTGACCCTGCCCCGCCCCTCCAGGCAAGTGCTGACTCAGGGTGTGTGTGTGGGTGTGTGTGTGTGTGTGTGTGTCCGCTGAGCAGCCCCAGCTCTAGAAGGCAAAGAAAGGTCTTACACCACTCCTCCTGTCCCCCCCTGCCACAGCTCCACTGCAGAGTCAGGCAGGACCCCAGACCCGCAGGAAACCGCAGGCGCTCTGGGGAGGGGTTGGTTTTGCAAACTGCAGAGTTTGTGGGAAAGGGAGGGAGGGGGTGGACTCCCCCAGCCCTCAATCTAAAGGCCTCAAGTGGTCAGCCACAGAACCTCCTTCCCCAGGCTCCTTGTCCAGACTCCTTGAGATCCCCAGCCCACCTCTGTCCATCTGCTGCCTCCCCTCCTTGGATTTCAGTCCCACCTCTGCCATTTTCCAACCATGTGGCCTTGGCCAGAGTCCCATCTTAGCCCCTCCCCACACTCCGGGCTCTGTGCTCTCATCTCCTCCCTGAAAACCTGTCTGGACTGGCTTCCTCTCCCATCTGGGGGCGGAAGGTCTGGGTTCTGGAGGCACGACCTGGGGGGATTTCTCCTGGGGAACCCCGGGTGCTCAGGATAGTAAAGGAAGCCTTTATGCTTCTGCAAACCTGCAGAGTYGGCTGTATTCTTCTTTCAGGGCCTCCGGCAAATGTCCTCACCACACTGAGTCTGTTTCCTCAGCGGTAAAAAATGGACTTTTGGTCCCTAAACTGACGTGCAGATAAATAAGATCAAATACATACAATGCTTAGTACCGAGTGCATTTTAAGTCCCCAGTAGATGGTGGTGATTTTTAATTACAGAGGCCAAGACCAGGACTGTGACCGGGAATGAGAACACTAKGGTCTTTGGGTCTGTGCCCACCCTGTGACCTGGGTAAGTGCCTTCCCACTTCTGGCTTTGGATTCTGACTGCCCTTTCTCCTGGCAGCTCTGCTCCATCCAGGGAAGGCTTCCTCACCAATGATCACTTCTCCAGTAACCAGAGCCTCCCTCCCTCCCTCCCTTCCAGCCAGCCAGCCAATGTGGGGCAGGGCCCATATTTTTTGCCTTCTCCAAGGCCTTATTTGGGAAAAACAACAATAACAATTCAAATGGGCTAACCAGGCAGGCRTGGGTGGTATGATGCCAGCGACTTGGGGAGCTGAGGCAGAAAGATAGCAAGTTTGAGGTCAGCTTGGGCAATTCAGCAAGACCCTTCTCAAAATAAAAAATAAAAAGGGCTGGGGTGTAGCTCAGTGGTAGAGTGCCCCTAGGTTCAATTCTCAGTACCAATCTGTTCATTAATTCATAAAAGTGTCTAGTAGCCAGGTGTGGGGGCACACACCTATAATCTTAGCCACTCAGGAGGCTGGGGCAAATTCAAGCCCAGCCTTGGCAACCTATTGAGACCCCGTCTCCCAATAAAAAAATTWAAAAATGGCTGGGGGTATACTCAGTGGCAGAGCCCCTCTGGGTTCAGTCTCTAGTACCACAAATACATTACCTAGCAGGTGTCAGGCATTTTACATACACCCAATAAATGAGGTTGTGAGACAGGAAAACAGAAGCTCTGAAGTTTCCTATTTAATGAGAATTTGCTTTGGAGTCATGCAGTCCTGGACTTCAGCGGCAGCTCTGCCACTTTGCAGCTCTGTGATCTTGGGCAAGTCACTTGACCTCCAYGACATATCAATGCATTCTTTGAGGCTGACTGTGTTGAGCACAGTGGTAAGCTCTCTGCGGGCTTCTCTGTTCATCCCCACAGTCCATGAGGTAGGTTTGATGAGCAACCCTCTCCTATTCAGAGGAGGGAACTGAGGCTCGGACAGTTAAGGAACTTGCTTGTGGCCACACAGCAAGTTAATACCCAGAGTCAGGACTCAAGCCATGGGCCGCCTCCTTCAGAGGCTTTGCATCTGTAGTAGGAGTAGTAGGGATCGTACCCCCAGAGGTATCTCGCCACTGAACCACATTCCCAGATCCTTGTTTTTCTTTTCTTTTCCTTGGTACTAGGGATTGAACTCAGAGTCACTTGATCACTGAGCCACTTCCCCAGCCCTATTTTGTATTTTATTTAGGGACAGAGTCTCAATGAATTGCTCAGCACCTTGCTCTTGCTGAGGCTGGCTTTGAACTTGCTTCCTCAGCCTCCTAAGCCATTGGGATTATAGGCATGCACCACATGCCCAGCCCCAGCCCCTTAAAAAAAAAAAAAAAGTGTTTTGTTTTTTTTTTCTTTTCCAATTCTGAGACAGGGTCTTGTCTTGTTAAGCTGCTTAAGGCCTCACTGAATTGCTGAGGCTGATCTTGAACTTGTGGACCCTCCTGCCTCGGCCTCAGTTGCTGGGATCACAGACGTAGACCACTGCACTTGGCTCGTGTTTATTATCATTTACAGGGAACTGAGATGACCAGAATGCAGACAGGGGCAAAGGGTGGACTAGTGGGGTGCCTTCAGCCTGGGCCCTTCTCCTTTGATAATCTGCTGCCCATTGAAGACAACAGAGGGGCCTCCAGCATCTGAGAGATGGGAAGACGGAGGACCCAGGGGAACTATAGTTTTAACTTGGGGGTATGAAGTCAAAGACCAGCATGATTTTTGGAGATGGAAACACAGTGAAAGATCCTCCAATGCGAAGGGTCTTCCCCTGGGTCGTAGGCATAGGCTTTAGAAGAAGTCATGAGCTACAGCCAATTTGCCATCGATTGCACAAAATATGTCCTATGTATGCGTGCACGCCATATTTCTCAAACTTGGCTCTCTTGATGTTTGGGGCTGGATCATTCTGCTTTGAGGGGCTGCCCTGTGCGCTGTAGGACGTGGACCAGCATCCTCAGCCCCTCTTCCTACTAGATGCCAGTAGCACCTCCCCCTGCCAGTTGTGACAACCAGAAATGTTGCCAAACATTGCCAAATGTCCCCTGGGTAAGAGGGAGGGGCCGAACCACTGGTATAAATTGATTTTTGAAATAAAGAATCCAAAAATTTTCATTAGATACTCAAACTATTGGTGATGACCCTCAAACCCTTAAATACTATTCACACGATAAACACTTGTTGAGTTTTATGGGCCAGACATTGTTCTAAAAATTGGGACTACAGTAGTGACCAAGCTCGCCTCCGTCCCTTACTTATGGAGATGAGAGTCCAGTGGAGGAGAATTTGAATGAGTAACTATCAGAGAGACAAGCATCCTAAAGGGTTGTGACTTTACCTACTCCAATTACCTGTGCAGATGAGGAAACTGAGGGCTAAGTGGTCGCAGAGCAAGCAGGGGACAGTATGTAGGACAGTAAGGAGCAGAGGGCAAGAGCCCACACTGTAGAGCTGCGTTGCCTAAATCCAAACCTCAGCTCTCCCACGAACGTGCCGCATGACCTGAGCGACTGGCAGAACTTAGCAGTGCCCCTCAGTCCCCATCTGTTAAGGGGGTAATAATAGTACTGCCCTCATGGGTCTGCCGTAAGGATCAAGGGTTAACACTTACAAAGTGCCTGGCACGGGGTACTAAGTGCCTGCTGCCACTCTGATTGTGACTGCCTTCAGGACAGTCACAACTGGGCAGCAAGGGCAGAGTCCAGCCAGGACCCCAGAGCTCRATTCCTGGAGTTGGTCCAAGCAGGAGCCCGCTTCTCCTCATCCCCCAACTTCCTCCTTACCCCCCTCCCAGTTCTCCAGCCCCCATCAAGGGGAACTTGGGGGAAGCTTGGCTTTCAACACAGCAATGGCAGGAAGTGGTTCTGGTTACCACATCCCCTTCCCCACTTCCCCAGCCCCTCCTTCCAGAACCACAACAGAGTTTAGCCAAGGCCCCAGGAGAGGAGGCAGAGAGCAGGATGCACCCCTGAGCGGCCCCCAACTATCCTGACCCCCTGTCCGGACTCCTAAGTTGCACTTTAAACCCCTCCCTCAGGTGGAGGCCCCACCAGGATGGGGAGGGGGCTGATCCTGGATCCCTGAGTCACCAGCTGGATGACACAGCGCTGCAGGCAGCTATTAATAACTCAAGGCCCCCAGACGGGGCTCAGCCATGGGATGAGGCATCTCTGCCCCTGCCGAGGATGGGGAACTCCAAGCCTGTCTCTCCTGAGCCTGACAGAGAAGGGGGGCTATGCCCCACAGGCCTTGGCAGGATGTAGGGGAGACACTCCCCCTGTCTGGGATGAAACATAGAGGTGTGGATCTACAGGCTCTGCTCCAGGGGAAAGATCACTCAATACCTGCCTCCCCAGAGCCACAGTCGCACCTACCCCCTCTAGCCCCAGGGTGGTGGCCATTCCCAGGCTGACTCTTAGAGTCCCTACTGATACCAAGTCATGCTCCTACTTACCTGTGAGCACCTTCAGTAGAGAAGTCAGAGCACAGACTTAAAAATCAGACTCCTTGGGTTCAAATTCTGGCTYCTGCCATTAACTGGCTGTGTGACCTTAGGCAAGTCACTTTGCCTCACTCTGCCTCCATTTCCTCATCTGTAAAGTCAGGGTGAAGCATGTGCACAGTATATGCACACACACATGGCCCTGGGTTCATTCCCCAGCACCAAAAATAATAAATCAAATGAGGGAAACAGTCCTCACTTGAAAGGATTGGAATGGGGATTAAATGAGATTATGCATTACAGGTTTTTAGCAYACTCCCAAGCACAGAATAGGTATGCATGGAAGAAAAAAGCAAACCGCAGGCAAGCTTTGGCGATTCTTTAGCCTAGGGTGCTCGCTTTGACTTCACAAATTAGCTTTCAGGCTTCCACCTTACTGGTGAGGAGACCGAGGCTCAGGGACTTGCTGAAGTGCACACACCTAGCAAGGGACAAACTTGGGACTCCACCCAGATCTGACAACAGCCTCCTGATCCTCCCACCACAGATTCTGTGTATGTCCTTAGCTATCTCAGTCTGCGGTAATTCTAAATCAATGGATCTGGCTGACAGTGAC